CTTTGTCTCATTCCTTGTCCCATTTGAATACTTCAGGGCTGGTTTCTCATGGCTGTCCTGATGCGCATTACATTCAACACCTAATATACTTAAAGAGCCTTCAGAATTAATGTATTCAAATTTCTTTTTGGTCTTAAGTCTTGGAAGCTTACCTTCGAAGGGAAGTCTGGTATCCCTGCTCCTTAATATTGCTTCAGGAGAGGGAGCTTTAGGGAACATGTACCTATAAGAAAACATAGAATATAGCGCCACTTGCATTGTAAATGCCAAACATTCAAAACCACAGCTTTCCCATATTGGAGGTCCATACCATTTTAGTTTTGCCTCAGACACTGGGTGAGAACATGGTTAAACCTCCACTTCGTACCCACTTTGTGCTGCTAATTATTCATATGAGAAACATTGCTGTGCTTCCCATAGCTTCACTCCAGATGCTAGCATAGCCATCTCCATTGCTCTCGCGGGGAAAGGGGCCCCACTCTGGTACAGATAACAGTTGCTGTTTCTTAATGGCAAATACTATTCAGCTAAACCAGAAGACTGAGGAAAAGCAGTTTTAGGTTCACTTCCTAGATAAGAAAGAAAATTCCTTCCTGTTACTGATTCCATAAAGGAGAGTGAGCTAACCTGCAGAGTCTGATAAAGTCAGCCCTCTATTTCAGCTCTGGCTGTGGGCTATGTTAGCACAGACAGGCAGCTCACAAGGGTTTAATGCAAGAGACACAGAAGAAAGAAAATGATTTGGTTCTCTCACTCCCCTGAAGGGAACTGTCTTTGTTTTCCAGTACTGAGACTGCAGTGATACTCTTCATGATCCCCTCAAAAACTGTAATTCATAACATGCTGGGTAAGCCACTTGGGAGCAAAAGCATCAAAGATTTCAGGCTTTCCTGGCCAGCCCCAAGGTCTTTTTTATCACTGACCAGTGTTCCCACAGCCACAGATTTTTATCACGAAGGTGGTGGAGACCATGGTTTGTTTCTCTACTGGCACAGCACAGTGCTCCCCGTTAGCTGGGCATGCAGACCAGGGTGGCTCCTGATGCTTTGTCTGCCTGGCTGTGCTGGTGTGTACAGGTTGAAGGTCTGGGTTTGATAAAGAGCTACAATATTAACTCATGCCTATACCTGCAAGATTGTGGGCATAAATGTTACTCTGAGCATCCTCCTGGGTCCCCAAGGGTCTCACAACATACCTATTTTTGGAAAGCATGCATTCTGCCCCCTTGCTGTCACTGATGCTTGTGTCAGTGTTTGGTTTACTTTGTTTTCAGCTTAATAACTGACAAATCCTGCAGTGGCAGCTGGGCCAATTCGTCATGCACCCAGGCAGCAAGGGGGATGCTGCTGAGCAGCAGTTCATTGCTGTCATGGTGATGGTTTGTTTGAGAGGCAATGACAAGTGGTACAAGAGTGGGAAATGTGTTTTCCAGATATCTAGATTTAACCCCTTTCCCTTCTTTTTCTTTCAGGTTTTCTTTCCTTATAGGTAAGCTGTGTACGTCAATACACACAAACTCAAAATGCAGCGAGTAACCTTGTTCACCAGCCTTTACACAGACAAACCCTCAGGTCATTCTTTTTGAAGTACTTTTTTCTTTCACAAAGATGAAGGGAAAATGTTCCCATGTATGGGTTTTGCAGGAAATGGGAAGTGGGTGCCAGCGACCAGGGCTGTGACCTGTCAGACCTCGACATCTAATGTAACGCGATCTTGTGGTGCTTGGGAGAAAAAACGGAAGAGAAGTCTGGCCCTGGGACTGCAAATCACAGGCTGTGATGACAAGAGGGGGCCTAATAAAACTCAGCACCCTTCACTCTTAAATGAAATGACTGCGGAGGGTGAGTGGGGAAAGGATAATTTACTGCCTAGAGATATCCTGGGGTATCACTTTCCTAGAAATGCCTTTCACTGGCCTGTAGAGCTTCAGTGATGGAAAATGTGAAAACAGCTTTGAGCAGTTAAGGTCTTTATTTGAATTAATTATAACATCTATAATAAGATTTAAGCAGTGGAGGATGGGGAAAAGAAGGCCTTGGATTGCCCCGATCCTGTTTTGTCACATCATCCCCCTCCTGCCACCTTCCTGAAGGGTTTTGGTGCTGCCAGAAAGGAAAAGCTGGGATGTCCAGGTGGCTCAGATGACATGGATGGCATAAGTATATGATGCTGAGAAAACATGTCATTCCTCTAGGTCTCCTCTGACCACTCATTTCAGACTTTGTGTTGTGGAAGCCACAGGAGTGAGTGAATTTTACTGAACAATGCTGCTATTTGTTGGCAAGTTGGTCTGCTTTTGCGATGACTGTAATCAAAATTAGTTGGCTTTAAGATATGCACCTGCAGAGATGGATACTTCCTAAATGAACTCATTTGATAGGAATGGGTGCAAAGTCCAAGAGCAGCTTGGCATGCCAGGGCATACCAGGGCCCAGGATGCTGCTGGCTTGCTCTTGGAGGAGTTGTTTGATCACTTCCATTTTCATTGTTTCATTTTGTTGGGTTTTGGAAGTTTCTACTATAATTTAAAAAAAAAAAAACAAACTCACAGTAATAGACAAACTTTGGGAGAAAATCTGCTGATATAGGCAAATATTGTACTTAGATGTACAGATGTACTGACATCACTTTGTAGCTGGAAAAGCAAGTTACAAGCCACAAAATCATGAGTCCCCACACAAGACTGTGCAAAATTCTTTCTAGCTGAGCTGGAAATAGATGTTTTTTTCCAGAGGATTTTGATAGCTCTACATCTAGAATATTTATAATTAAATTAAATATAAGGGAAGATGGAAAGTAAAATTAATTAAGAGTTGTTTTGTTTGTTTGATCTTACTAGACATTTAAGCTCAATTCTTATTGAATCTTTAAGCGGAGATTCTGGTTTGTTTAATCTATTTGTCTGCTCCTTATTATATTTCTGGTAGGGTGAGCACCAAAGAATAAATGAAAGATAATGAAATAAACAGAGCCAAGTGTGGCTGTGCCCTAGAGCTGTCCTATCTCAATATAGGAGTCTGTGTTTCATCTCTGCAAAGCAGAGATCGCAGGACTCAGCTGGCACCAATAAAGAGGTGTCACACTGGGAGAGAGAGCTGTCGCTCTGTTGGGCTCCTGTCTGCCCCCAGCTCCCAGCGTAGGGGCGAGGGTGGAGAATTCCATCTCTGTGGATCATTTACATCCTGGATGTATCCAGTATAAACCCACTCACCGCATCCCATTGAAGTGAAGCTGCAGAGCTTGTTTGCATGCCTCAAGAATAAAACCTGGCTAGTCTCAGGGCTGTGTTTGGTACAGCATGCAGGACAGCTGTTAAAACACAACTGGTTTCTAAAGCACCTGTTAAAATCTACCTTCAGCAAGATATAGCACCACTGCTGCTTCATCTCCCACATGGTTGCCCCTCTACTCCTCCTCCTCACTCCCCTCTGCAGTGCCCTATGAGTCCATTCCCAGCCCTCCCTGGACCTGCATTCAAGTCAGCATGAGCCAGGTAGTCCAGATGGTAGGAAATATCTATCTATACATACATCTCACAGTCACATGGAAGTAGGAATGTTGCTTATCCCCTCACCTATCCTCTTGTGACAATTGGCACTTGATTGGGTTGCTTCTGCTTCCTATGCTCGGCAGTCTCTGCTGTTAGGAAAGCCTGAGGAATGGGAAAGTTGAGGTGTCCACCGTGCTATGCTGGTCCCTGACAGGGCTTCCCTCTGCACTCCTCATGGTTCACAAAACAAGATGCCTCAGCTTGTATGGCTGTTCAAGGTATCTTTACACTGTGCCTAAGCAGATCCAAGTGTAGCTTTCTGTGCACAGTTTAGCCAAGGCAAAGTGTTGTGGACTTTTCCTTCAAATCCAGATTGAGGGAAAAGGGTTGAGGACTTTCACACTCTAAAAATGTTCATCTCAAACTGAGTCAAAGCTTTCAAAATTACACCTTTGTGGATTTTGTTCTCCATATTAAATATGGATCTTGTAGCTTTTTGTGCTGCTGCAGTCTAAAAATAGTATTTTCTTTCAACGTTATGCACATTAATTCTTAATATATCTTTTTTCCCCACAAAATTCCTGAGAAGTAGCAGCAGAGTGTGTTACACGCATTTCACAAATGGAAAAATGGATGCCATCTGGTCCACTATAGCCATGAACCAGCACTGTAGTTATCATAATAACTTTCCCATCCCCCATTTAAATTAGTTACACGTAAAGAAAATCCTACTTCTCCCCAAATGAAAAGCACATTAATTTTATCCAAAAGCCACCCTCACATCTGATATCCCCCTGATACTAGCAAAAAAAGAACAGAGACATAACTTTTGTCTGTTGTCTTGTTTACAAATAGGGGTATTCAGGGTTAGGGGAATCATGGATATCTAAATAGAGAGAAGAAAGCAACAAGGTTAAAGAATACATTTTCAGCATACCAAAAAGTAAAAGGCAATAGGAAACTGACCTGGCAAATGCTTACTCATGGAGTGAATGTGATCAGGGTGGGAAGCAGCTTGGAAGAGTCCCCATGAAAAACCAGAATTTCCTTCAGTGGATACTGCCCTTGTTGCAATTGATACGTTAAGAGAAAGTATTTCAGTGTAGCTAGCAGTGAGTGAACAGAGATTCATATTCTCAGAGGATGAGCACCTAAGTATGTGCCTAACAGGACACTGAATTATTCAAACATCTCCTAAATCTGTGTTATTATACTAGAAATCACATGGGCCCAGGTTCTTTTACAAGACCTTCAGCACATCCTGTTTTGGGCTGGGCCTTAAAAAATACCTGGAAAACAGCCCCTCACACAAGCTTTTTGCTTTCCACTTCTGGCTGTAATACAAAAGGGTAGCAGCCACTTTATGTCTGAACTAAAAATAGACTGGACCAAAGCAGAAGTCCTCGGCAGTTTGTGTTGATCAGCTGGGTTGGTGCTGTTGGTGATTTCTGGAACAGAAGTTTCTATTTCATAATATATTAATATGAATCTTCTTTGAAAATTAGCAGGATTCTTCCTGTCTACTATATTATTAACATTAATATTTAGTGTTGAAAGTGCTCTTTGGAAGTGTTATTATTATATTTTTTCAAGCACTTAATCCCATACATTGCATAGGGGAATGTATCTCTCCATCTGGATATCTGTGCTCTACAGTGGAAATACCAGAGCTGCTCAGAAATGCAAAGCACCTGCAGCTCTTTTCAAGGGGTGGTATCCAACTGTTGCCAGGGTGGAGTTAATATCTAGTTAAACATTAACCCAGGGCTTGGTTCCATCATTTTATAATGTGTAACCTGCTGCAAGTAAATGATAAACTGTTCTGGGTGCAGCCCTGATTGCCAAATACTTATATTTCATGTTGTTACTGTTCAGAGGAAAAGCAAATAACTCTCATTTGAAAACAGGTAAACAGAAAAGATGCTGCATACTGGTTTCTTGCTCTCCTGAAAAGGCAAGAAGATAGTCATTGCACTGGAAACTCTATTGGCCAGTTCAAGATTTTATATATGTTTTTAAGACAACAGTACAAGGTGACATAAAGCCACATGCTGTTGTAGGACAGAGCCTGTAAGACACTGCCTCTCATTCCTTAAATCATACCAGTCTTTCCCCTTCTCATCCTTCTCCCTGCTTGCTCCCCAGCCCCCAGTGTGAAGTGTTAAAAACTTGAGGACAGAGCCTAGAGCTGTCTGCAGATGGGGCTGGCCAACCCAAAGTGCCAGGCTCCCAAACCCACCACCTACATCTCCTGCCCACAGAGCAGCCAAGCACGCTGTGTGCTACTGGGTTCCCACACCACACTGCGTTGGGAAGAGTCCATGTGTGTTTGGACTTGATGAGTTAGTCCATCAAATGTGCTATGTTATGATGCACTGTGGTAACTCTGATATCCTACAGTCTCACTGAGGTCCTGAATTGGTGGAGGCAGAGGGCAAAGGAAGCCTGGCTTCTGATTGTCCTCTTGAGTTAAAAAAAAAACGTAATGAGATTCAGGAAAAGGTTGAACACGGAGAGAAGGCATTTTGCAGTTATGCTGACCAGGACAGATGCTGCAATAACCATTAATCTCCATGTTCCAGTCTGGAAGCTCATCATGTGCTGAAGTCACTGTCTGGCCTCCCTGAGCCCTGTGGAGGATTGTGCAATCGTCACCCGTGTTCATCATCTGAGGTGAGAGGGGAGGGCGTCACCTTCCTCTGAAGCATCCGGCACCAGCTCCTGTCAGCAGCAGGATGCTGGCTGCAGTGGACATGGATGTGCTCCAGCATGGCAGCAGTTACACACCCTCCTCTGAGTTAAATCAGGAGATGCAGCCAGATGTCACCTCTAGCCAGGTTTACCCCTTTCACTTGCACACATGCCACACTTACCAACACACATCACCTTCCCCAGCCCCTGAAAAGTCCCATCTTTAGACAGTTTCTTCCCAACCTGGGGGCTCTACCTTGCTTCCTGCAGTCATCAGTGTGTATTTGTTGCCATTATATTCCACGAGTTTGTGATCTTCAGTATTCAAAGACTTCAAGATGCAAGGTCAGGCAAGAGGATGTAGCAGCTGCAGAAAATAGTACTCGATTCAGCACTGCTGACAGGTGCTTGCTTTCTCACCTAAATCTGAAATTACTTCATCCCTCTTTAATATGAAGAGGTCTTACGCATTTCATTATTAGTGTTCTTCCTTCTTTTCCTTTGTGTGTGTGTGTGTGCACATTTCAGTTGTCCTCTCCCACCCCTGTTCCTCTCTCTACCTCACATCAGTGTACACTGCACACTTCCTGTGGCACTTTTATAAGCTGCCAGAAGGGAAGTGACCTGGTTACACGTCCAGCTCTACAAGCTGCCTCAGCAATGCTTTTCCTCCTTCTCTGCAGCAGCCCTGGGCAAGCAGAATGTCCTCAGCCTGTCAGCGCATTTGAAGGGTACGGTCTGCACCCTGAAGGTGCAGGGAGGGTATGGTCTGCACCACAGCTCACCACCACAGTTCACAGAGCTGACATCGGCACTCAGTGACTTGTGACAACCCTGTTACAAAGCATGTGGTCACTGACTTCAGGCAGAAGCCATGGGATAGGGTTATATTATTATTACTACCGAGACTGTTGTTATTGCAGTAAGTATGAGCTGCTGACAGTAGATGCCTCTCTGGAAATAACTCATCAATCATGAGAGCTGCCCACAGGAGGAGCCGCCCAGAGCCCTGATCCGGCAGCACTTACGCAGCAGGATGCCCGTGTTATCAGTGAGGAAATCCACACGCTTGACTCTACATACGCAAGTGTCCTCACTAGTTCCTGAAGGCAGCAAAAAGAGAAAGTTCTACCCATCCTCATTCAGTTTGCTGCAGAACGATGTTCTTGTTTGTTTCTGCCCTTCAAAATAGTGAGTCAACTTGCCTCACTGAGATTCAAACTGACCCTCCAGCAGTCCCTCTCAAACATCATTTTCTTTATTATATCTCTTTTATTTTCAAATGTTTTGGGTATATAAATACCTGTAATAAACTATATTCCCGGATCCTTATGGTTACATGTGAAACCAAAGACTTTAATGTAACAGTTAAAATTTTAGGAGATTTCTTGCCACCACCCTGATATCTTGGTTGTTAGAAAAATAAAAGCTTATCATCCAGTCTGTTCTTTTGAAGGATGTGCAGTTTTGCTTCCATGACCAGTCTAGGTCTAACCACCTAGAGTTTAATAGAGCATCACTTGGGAAGACTGCCTGATACAGTAAAAATACAATGATCATTCTTTCTGGATTTGTACCTAAGTTTTCCACTATTCTATTTTATCTCCATGCCTTCCAAAATTCTTATCCTTTTTTTTTTTTTCCAGATTTATAGCATGGAGCTATGCAAATGCATTTCAGGGAAGTCCAACTTAAGAATTCAGAGATAAAATAGGGAAAGCTGTATGATTATCCTATTTTTATAAGGTCCTTGTTCCATGTTAGAAGAAAAGTAGTTCCAAATATTGCTTGTAGGTTTATGAAATGCTTACAGAAGCCGACTCGCTTTGAGCAACTACAAATGATAGAATACCTCTAAACTGACAACAGATCCAGAAGGCTTCTGGGACTGGATGCTACATGGGTAGCATCAGCATGGTGCCACCAGTGAAAGCAGAGGCACTTTATATAGCTTCAGGATTCACTGGAGAAGTGTATAAAGCTCAATACAGATGGTAAAGTATAAAGCAACCTCATTTCCTCAGGCAAAGGGAAATGCCAATGAAAATTATCTGCCTGTGAGGAGGAACAAGATAAGAAAGAGGAGCGTTTTCTAGAAGCGCATTAAATATTTCACTCCCAAGTAAAACACAGGAATATGAACAAGCATATGTTTATGAAATCAAGTATCAAAATTTCTACTTAAGACCTGTAGATACAATCCAAACCTGAATGTAGACAGATGGAGTCTTTCTGGGTCAACAGGCTCTGCAGGCAATTTATGGGGAAAGGATGCTGGAGCATCCCTGATCACTTGTGCAGCTGCATGGGTTCACTGCTGTGTATCCATGCATGCACAGTGGTGCCTCACAGCTGGTCAGAATGTTGCATGCCGATCCCTGGCTCCACTGAGAGAAAATCCCACCTCTGCTGGCATACAGCCCAAGCCAGAGATTTGTTGCCATACAGATTGTTGCCTTAGAATTAACTTCCCTCCCTTCTCGCTGCCCTCTTGGTTAACATGTCCTCTCAAAAGAGCTGATTTCCCTGAATGTCCCATTTGGGAGCAAAGCCTTTAGCATGTTCACAGTGTGGGGTGTGCTGAACATGTTGGTGCTGTGAGGCATGTGCCCGTTTCTCTGTGACTGTGGGAAGGAAGGGGGAGAGAGAAGGTGCTAGCAAGCAAAGAAGGACTTTTTGTGTTGGGAAGCAGATACACATTATAACTTGAGATGTGTTGAGTTTGCTATTAATTCCTTTCTAAGAGAGGCGGCTGTCTGCACACATTTGCCTGGTGTGACTTGCTCTTTTGGCCATGGGTTTACGGAGTGACTTTGAAAAGCATAAGATCTTTCTGTTTCCTGAGCAGCAGTGAAGCACAGTACTGCCCACCTGCTTCTCAGCCACTACTAGCTTTTGAATGAAAGCAGAAAGAAGAAATGGAGATTATCAGGCCAGGCACTGGATGGAAGTGTCCACCTTGGGCCACAGATCACGATGGACACCAGCCTGCCCCCGTCCCATGCCACCTGCCCTTGCGTCTGCCCAAGCCCCTTCCCCTGTCCCCCAAAACCACACTTATTCTGTCTTATTTACAGTCCTTGAGGACAGAGGCTTTGTCCTGTGGTCTGTAATAAAGCTGGGTTTATTGTTCTTTCTCAGCTCTGCATTACAGTCTTCTCTGACTCCTTGGCAGCCACACTCAATTCCCTAGGGGCCTTTGCCCGTTATATTGGAAGTTTACAAGCTAGTATCATTTTTTTCTTTCTTTTAAACAAGGTAGATGCTATCTACTGACTACAGACATTGCTATAGTCCTCTCTAAATACCATCAAGTCATTATTTCCAGCAGTAATGCACATCTAGTTAATTCACTTTGATATCGCTTTTTCAGTGTGAAGGCTATTTTGTGTAGTAAACGTTACAAATGTTGTTGTTACCCTTGATGATTAAATCCACCCATCATTCAACTCATCTTTTCCTTTCAGTGGTTTGACTTTCCATGGCTATGTTTTCCTTTTCTTGGCATCTATGTCCTGTCAGTGACTGAGCTCAGTGGGAATGGGAGGTGCTGGCTGACCTATAGCACAAAGAGCTCACTTGGTCTGCAGATTGTAGCTATTGAAGTGACTATAAATATCCTTTAGAAGTTTCTTGGTTTGCCACACACTATGGTTTCCTTGGCTTGAACCTGCAGAGTATATGATCCCATATTTGAGATGATACTAGAAAAAGTGGACAAGATGCATTTATATATATATATATATTAGACCCTTTAATTAACATAAGATCTTTTTTGGAGAAGTAATAATGAGACTGACAAGCAAGTAGAATTTTTGAGATTGTAAAGAGCTTTATTTAGGGACTTGGATTTCTCCCAGCTGGATACTTCCAGCATCCTTTCCCAAGCAACTTCTAATTAATTAGAGTTCCCCATTACAACTAGTTCTGGAGCCATGCTTAACTTTGGCAGTTGCTAACAAATTTGTCTATGTGATTTTCCTTGCTAGCAGCAATATTAGCCTTCTGCTGTGGCTGTGCCTGGTACTTTTCACCATCAGCCACCATTTAGATACTTTCCTCACTGAGCTGAGTATGTGGCTCCATGGAGGCAGTTACAAATGAAGTCTGGTTCCATAGGATCACAGAGTGCTTTAGGTGGGAAGAGATGTTTGAAGGTCTCTACTCCAACTGCCTGGGCCAAGCAGGGCTTACTTGAAGGCTAGACCAAGCCCACAGGGTATCTAGCTGAGTTTCGAAACCCTCTGTGGATGGACAGCACACAGCATCCATGCTTGCCCGCTCCGTCTATGAACTGTTTTTCCTACAGATCTGTTTGTCATGATTGTTTGAAACTGGTGACTAGGAATGTATCAGCTGCAAACAAAGCTTTCCAAGTGCTTGGGGCCAGGATAAGGCCTTCATAGCACCACCACTCTCCCTCTTGGCTTCTCTGAAGCCTGCTGGAGGCTGAGCTCACTTTTGAATCAAATCACTTATGGGATTCACATGCTGGGTCTCCCTTAGGCTGTACACTGTTGTGGATGAAACTTATTGTCACAGTCACCTTTGTTATTTTACCTCTCTGCTAAATTTTGTCCTGGTAGAACAGTGGCTTCACAGACTACTAAAGGCACACACACATCTGTATGTACACATACAGTAAAAGACTGCTGGCAAGACATCTCAGTATCCCCAATTGCAGCAGCAGAGTCCTGTCACCAGCTGAGATAATTTCACTCAGGGCATCATAGAGATGGTTTGATGCCTGTAGGCCACTGACAAACAAAACCCCAGGAAGAGTGGGGCAGGGGACACCCCTTGGAGCCCAGCCTGGTCCGTGCTGATGCCAGCAGCACTGCAAGTCATGAAAAGCTGTCTGTTTAGTGCAGCTCCCAGTTTGCCCCTGGAAGAGAGGGGAGCAGAAAAACATCTTTTCACTCACCTTGCTCACCTGTGCAGGGAAAACACCTGGGTGGAGGGGTCTGCCCTTGTCACCAAACCACAGGTAGCAGGTAGGCTGAGCACTGCTGAGGAAAGGAGACATTTTTCTGCTCAGTAGAGCAAAACCAGGGCACAAACTAGGTCTCTGCAAGCAGAGACAGGCACTGAATTCATTGGATAATCTGCAAATTATTTGCCTAGCTCTATTAATTAATGTTTGTGAAGCATTTGGAGGGTTAAATGCCCTTGAGCCGTTGTTCACCTAAGCTTTGCCCCCAAACTGACATCAATGAAAAATCCTTAATGGAGGTGGTAGCAGCAGCAGCAGCAGCACTGGATTTTCAAACCCTCCTAAGGCAAGAAAACATTATTTTCCCTTCATTTTATGGTCTGTTGAATCTTCTGTTTTTCTTCTTGTATAGCAGGAATAAAGTTCGTGGCCTTGGAGTATTCTTGTGGTTCTCCAAATGCCTCAGATTTAATTTGGCATCTTTCACACACAAAAAATTTATTGCCTCGTATACTCCTTCGTTGTGAATATTGTCCCTTCCCCAGTTCTGTGGAAGGGTCCTGGAGCCTAACAATTGTCCCATGGAGTTGTTTCTCAGCTGGTGAGGAGCCCTGACTTGTGCCTTGGCAGGCAGGGATCACACAAGAAGACAGTCCCTGATGGGGAGGTCAGCCCGGACCTTTAACATTGGCCTGAGCTCCAATCACCCATCTCAGAAAACAAATAAGAAAACATAATAAGATGCACACAGGCTCTTTGTTGCCAAGTCCAAAACCCAACATATAAGAATAAGCTTTGTGAACAGGGAGGTCTGCACAGTGAAAGGCACTCTAGGGCAGGCGGCAGGGACCGGAATTGTTCTGGCTGATGGTGCTCACTCTCTGGCTGGGGACCAGCAGAATAGCCTGGGGTCAGGTCTTCGTGTTTTGGGTACCAGCTCTCTAAATAGAGTGTGCTTGTATTGTACAAAAACAATAACAAAAGACATCCAGGCTGTTCCAGATGCAGGGGCTCCTGCTTGTCACCCTGATGGATTGAGATTCAGATCCCTGAATTCAATTTCCCTCTGTAGAACAGCTGCAGCAGCTTTCTGTCATGTGGCACAAGACTGTCTGATACAGGTCACTGACATATCTGTATCAATTTTGGCACATACATGAAGATACTGCAGGTTTTTTATATTTTAGCTTATTATGTGCCTGAAATTAAGGGAGCCACACAACTCTTCAAGTGTTTCGCATTAGGCGATTCCATTTGGGCAGCTTGCGAAGAGGAATAACTGAGATGATTCTATTTCCAGATTGGGATCAGGTCAGATAACTATCAACTCCATTCCTCTGCCTGACCTGTAATTTCCAACCCCACCGTCGGTTCTTGCAGTGACAGGCAGTGTCCTTCACATGTTGCTGAGCCATGTGAAACATCAGGGGAAAGGCTTCCTGCAACCGACTGGATTTCCATTTCCAGGTGCAGTACCCGGCACTGAGGATGCAGTAGGGCACGCCACACCAC